AATATAGCGAAGAAGAATTTTGATTTTTCTAGCAATTTTGTTGGCCTCTATTATTTTGTAAATATATGTTTGACGAGAATTCGGTGTGATTATTTGTGTTTTCATTGTATTTTAGAGTTTTCGACTCGGAAATCAACTACCTTAAATTTCGAAGTTTTTCATAATCACTCATGATGGAAAAATTCAGTTGAGATAACTTTTTCATGGGGTGATCAATTGCTGTGAGTGTAAGAATAAGTAACTGAAAAACTACCACTGAAAAATAATATGCCGACGCCTATGTCGGCATATTATTTTTTGCTGTTCCAATTGCTATTGGAAATACTATAATAAGAAGATCAGAAGATGCTCGAAATGGTTGCCTTGAACTTCTTGACATATGAACAGCCTATCCGATATTTCACGCCGAACATTTTCGAACACAGAAACGTCAATATCTCTACAAATATTTATTATTCTCTGCCGTATATCCAATATTGAAGCAGGTTCAGTTTCGTACACCTTTTGCTTCAAATAGCCCCATAAAAAAAGTTCAAAGGTGTCAAATCTGGCGAGCGGGCTGGTCATTCTGTAGGACCTCGATGGCCAATCCAACGACCGGGAAAAGTAGTATCCAAATAGTTTATTGCTTGTCTGGAGTAATGTGGTGGTGCTCCATCTTGTTGGAATACAATATCCATATCGAATTCATTAGGATCCTCTTCGACGATTTCAGTGATGAGAGGGTCAACAGTAGTTTCCTACATATGAAAATACAGTTTCCCTGTCAAATGTTGTAAATCTAAAGAAATGAACTTCAAACGTTCGAGCCAGTCTCGAACATATGTACACAGTAGGTTGAATGGACTATCGCCTAACAGAACAACTACTTCCCTGGCTAATACCACGAAGGGCGTTGGATTATATCCAACAAGCGTCAGTGCAGGAATCTTCACAGAAAATTTCCTGCATATGCAATTGGCAATACAACTGAAAGAGTCGATCTTCAACTTTGGAACTGACACACATGCAGACCGGTTTTGGGCTCGTTAGCCACTAATCAGTTTAAGATAGTGGCCATCATCGAACCTAAATTTAATGATATTTCATAATTGAAAATCGAAATTCTTTCAGAGTATTTCATTCCTCTTCCTAAGTTGGAGCGAACAACAAAATGTCACTCCATCTATTGGACGAGGTACTAACCAACTGCATATCCGAAATGTGCCCGATTCCTCTGAATAAGGAAGAAAAACTTTCTTATTAGTTAGTGAGATATGCTTGAAGACTGGTAGTAAACAAATCTAAAGAAATGAACTTTAAACGTTCAAGCCAGTCTCGAATGAATGGACTGATGCCTATCAGAAAACAACTACTCCCCTGGCTAATACCACGAAGGGCGTTGGATACAACTCCCCTCAAATATTTTCTACAGATAGGACGATTTGGAAAACGTTCATTGAACATCCTTTCGGTCTCGTGAAAGTTACGCGTCGCACCGTTATTTTTGCGATTTTTTCTGTGATGATACTGCCTGATGGTAGGAATTCAGAACACTTTTTATTTTTTGTCGAACTTAATTAGTTTCCGAGATATAGCCCGTCAAAGTTTGTATGACGTCATATTTTACCTTTTTTTAAAAGCAATAAACGATTGCAATTCACATATTTTTTTATTTAACACAACTTGTTCCATATCATCGCACCTTTTTCTATCCCTTTTCAATCACTCATTGTCAAGTTTCCTGAAATTAGAATGAAATTCAATTATTTGTCGGGTGCACACAAATCACTTTTTATAAATTGCATTTAGTTTCACTATTCGAAAATGCGTTCCTTTTAGAATTTGGAGGTCAAGTTAGATGTTGAGGAAAGATAGTTTTTACAAAAGTGAATATTCGAAAATACGTTCCTTTTAAAATTTGGAGGTTAGGTTAGATGTTGAGGAAACATAGTTTTTTTAAATTCTAAAGTAAGGTTAGACTGAGTTAGGTTAGGTCGGGTTAGGTTAGATTGAGTTAGTGTGTGACAAATTATGGAATTTCAATCTAATTTCAAGAAACTTGGCGATAAGTGAATGAAAAGGGATAGAAAAAAGTGCGATTATATGAAAAAAAAAAGTGTTGAATAAAAAATATAAGAATTGCAATCGTCCAAAAACTAAAAAGTGTTCTGAATTCCTACCATCACGTAGTATCATCACAGAATCGCCAAAATCCGTGAGTATACCATTAAGTAAAAGGCATGAATGCATCAACTATTTGCCAGTAATAAAAATAATATGTAGGTAGGTAAGTACCTAATGTAAATAAACATTGATTTACCTGGTTGTTTCAGTTGTTCTGCAATCTCTGCCCAAGCCGTGTTCTTTTTCTTGCCATCCATATATTTAGGATGCTGCAGATTGTACAAAAATTCGTACTTCCGCACAAGTTCAATTAGCTTTTCGTCCTCCATTTCAGCAGCGTCTGCTTTTGTTGATGTTTCTCGTTCAACTGATTGTGACTCGGCGAGCTGCAACAACGCGTTACGTATCCGTTTATCACCGTCGTCATACGCGTTTACATCCCGTTTATACACCGCACCGTCCCGCTGCCGGAGACCTACGGTTTAGCAACGTTGCCATACACGTT